AAATGCAGGCTTGGTGAGCAGAAGAGACTTCTTTATAAAACATTCAAAATCTTACTGTTCAAAAACTGTTGACTGGTAGGTTATATAGATTACAGAAATTGTATTGAAATCTTCTGAAATGATGGCTACGCCCCTGGCTGACCCTATACAGTCTATGATGCTGACAAATAATGCTGACTCACAGACTGTAAGTACGTTTTTTATATTTAAAGGATTTGCCACTGATGATTCAAACGCGAGTTTTGAGCAGTGTAGAGTAGGGCTTGTTGTTTGTCATTTCTCCGATCACAAATGCAGACATGGTTTTATGTTTACGCGGCGCGATGCAACGCAACGCGTAAAAAGACAGTATAAGTCATTATAATCAGTAATTATATCCCCATTGGATGCAACAAATGCCTCGTTTATAATGGGTTTTAATGTTTTTGTCTCTTCGCTCCGGCCGGGACACGGCATCACAGTATGGTGAGGGGCGTAACATTTCCGTCTCACACTTGAGGTATTCGGCCAATCACAAAGCACTGGATAGCTGGCCAATCAGAGCACACCTCGCTTTTCAGACCGATGAGCTTTGTAAAAATTGACGCGTTTCAGAAAGGCGGGGCATAGAGGAGAAACAATAATGTACAGTATGTGGAAAATAATGTGTTTTTTGAACCTTAAACCGCATAAACACATTTCATTACACCAAATACACAAAATAATGTTCTTTTTAGCAACATCATATGACCCCTTTAATAGCAGTGTGTAAGTCTTATGAAGTCATACATTTGCTTTTGATGAGGAAAAGTTTGTCATAAGTAATTATATAATGTCCACGGCAGCTCTCAAATCTTGTGTTCGCATGTATTCAAGGCTTTGAAAATGCTTCTGTGTGTCATGGTGACTTGAATGAAATTCGACAGCTACACTTTCAGTGAGTAATGACTTTTGTACTATTGCTCAATGCCATTTTTATGGTACTTTTTGCCCTTTTGGAGACTGACAGTGTAAATAACAATCCACTAGCATTGTATAAAAAAAGGCAGACAGATTTTTATTAAGGGGTGTATTTGAAGGCCCTAAAAAAGCTAAATGGTTTTAAAGTGTCGCGTATACTTGCCACGTTAAAATGCACTTAGAGATAAACGAAGTTCCTTTATAGTGAAGGGATGTGGTAAAAACCTAAGTGTCAAGAATACAGCCAAACTCAAACAATGGTTGCTCTGAGGTTTTTCTTATTTAAAGGGATAGTTCAACCAAAAACTTGGTCTGCTTTGCATCATTACAAACCTGTATGAACTTCTTTCTTCTGTGAGTCAATAAGTCATTAATGATTTCATTTTTTCCCCTTAAGAACCGTTTTTATTTATTATGCTTTTATTTCCCGCCAGGTTTCTGTGCCTGCATGATCCTCATCCTGTTCTCCTCGGAGGTCAAACTGCACCACCTGACCGAGATCATTTTCAAATTCAACGAGGCCGGTTTCGTCTACAAGACGCAAAACGAGAGGTACGACAGATGCTTCTGGCTCGTCTTCCTCACCTTCTTCATGCACGGCCTCAACATCTTGCTCATCCGCCTGGCCGGGATCCAGTTCCCCTTTCAGGAGGCCAAAGAGTCTGATGCGAGCACAGGTGCGGCGGATCTCATGTACTGACCAGCTCTTTTGTTCTACTTCCTCCCCTGCACACGACATCCTACCGCAGCGACTAGCACTTCTCAGTAGGAGTCTTCCGACGAGCTGCATCCGTTCTGTTTACAGCTGAACACATCTGAGCCTCTTAAGCTATTGAGACCATGTGTGGTGATGAACTTGGAGATGCCCGTGTGTTTGGAGAGAAGGGTTCTTATCTCGCAGCGGGGAGGCGGGAGTGAGGCTGATGGAGCATTCATTCTGTCAATCACTCAAACAATTAATGCTCACCATTTCAAACGGCTGATGAAAACACCCTGTAGTTTCCAGCCTGGCTGGGGACATGACAGGCTCCTTTGGTTGTGGATCTTTTATAATCCAGTTGTGGCACAAAGGGCAATTCTACAGTGACCCCAGAAAGTTTGGACACTTAAGCCACACTTAAATATGTATGAATGTCTTTGCATTAGATAACAAAATGTCAAGCGCCATTTGTTTTAAAAACAGTACAGGCACACTTTTCAAACAGAACATTGCACAAAAGGAATTTTGTTGGACTTCATACATCTACTAAAAATCATCAGGCGATTAAAAGTGTTAGCAAAAATGTCTAAAACCATAAAAAAAAAAAAAATGTAATAAAAAAAAAAAAATTCATCACTTAAAATGAAATAAATATTAACTTAAATTAAATAAAAATAAAAAAAACGTATTTTTTGTCAGCTAGTTGCTAAGACAACATTTCTCATTTTAATTTAGTTTGTAGTAAAATAACCAAAATTAGAAAAACTAAAACTATAACATGTTAAAATGAGAATAATAATAATAATGACAAAAACACAACAAAATGACCAAAACTTTAAAATAAAAAATAAATACAAATAATAATAATAATAATAATAAATTAAAAATATTAACAAAAATATATAATAGTATATCACTGATACACTGGTTTATTATTTTGTTTTCTAATGCAATTGCATTAATCCATTTGATGTTTTCTTGACTTTTTAGGGCCACTGTATAGTAATATTCCAATTTCTGGTTTTATATAAGCCTACATATCATTTAAATAAATAACAAAAATGTTGTTGTATCTCATTTCATCATTCAGGCATATGCCTCCAACTATAACCATGGCTTTAGAATATCAGACAAATGTAACAATTGCTATTGATTTATCACTTATTGGATGATCAATATGGATTTAATGTTTTCCATGTTTAACTAATATTTTAGAATCTTATTGTATTTGCATCTTTTTCATAAATCCTTCTTATTGTCTTCTTTGTGTTTATACACTCATGCTGTGCCAATGTGCCACATTATTCATAATATAAAAATGGCATTTAATAAACCAGTTTTTGGTATGTAAACACTAAAATATTGGTAACACTTTACAATAAGGTTCCATTAGTTAGTGTTAGTTCATGTATTAACTAACATGAACAAACAATGAACAGTACATTTATTACAGTATTTATTAATCTTTGTTAATGTTAGTTAATGAAAATAAAGTTGTTCAGTGTTAGTTCATGTTAGTTCACAGTGCATTAACTAATGTTAACAAGCACAACTTTTGATTTTAATAATGCATTAGTAAATGTTGCAATTAACATGAACTAAGATTAATAAATGCTGTAGAAGTATTGTTCATTCTTAGTTCATGTTAACTAAAGTAGTTAACTAATGTTAACTCATGAACCTTATTGCAAAGTGTTACCAAAATATTCTTAAATGGAATTTTTAACCTGAGAATTTTCAAACAAATATAAGAGTAGATAATAATTAAATTAAAAGTAATAAAAAACGCTTGTACTGTATGTGTAGTTATTTGGCATATACAGTATGCTCATGAATTGTGATTGTTAGGATGTAGAATGAGAGGGGCCAAAAATACAATATATATATATATATATATATACAAAAATACACAATTATGTATTACACATGCTGTATCAATTCTGACACCCTATTTTTCATCATTGTTTATGGGAGTGCGGCTTTTCTGGTCACTATGAATTCTGTGCCTTTACTCAAAATAAAATGATATGTACTATTCTAGTTTCGGTTTCTTCATAACGCATTGCTTTTTATATGTACTGTATGAACAGACTAAAATGACAGCATAGTACAACGTTTGTACATTTTATGGACACAGAATGTATTTGGGAGGTTTCAAGAATCCAGGAACAAAAAAAGCGGCTCTCATCACTCCAGACATAATGAAAGAGCACTGCTTTGTTAGCACAGAATTCAGACCAACAGAAAAGAAACCGAGTACTCCACCTGCTGCCTGGAAACTGTCAAATGAAAGGAGGTTCTCTGTCATGTTGTGCAGCCATGTGTCTGTCTGCCTCTTGAATATAAAGTCTGTCACATATGTCTTGGTGATCTGGTTCACACTGAGGTTTGAACTTTAAACAGAGTTTAAAGGATTCTCACCTGAACCTGCAACTACGCCGTCTGATACTCATTTCTAAAGAAGAGATAAAGAAGGTATGGCTTTTCTTTTTGTGATTATGCAACAGGTTTAGGTTGATTCCATTTAAAAGTGATTCAGAGTCTGTAAAAATAAATAAATGATACATGAAATCAAATCATTGCTTTAATCTGCATTAAAGCAATGCAGAATAAACAGCTCAACATTCTATTCAAAGTTATTTTGAAAACTGCAATTCAATTGTATTGGCTGAACAGTATAGATTCAGCCATGAATTAGATTTTTTTTTTTCGTGCTTGTACTGAATTTCAGAATGATTCTTTTCTTATAACTACATAATTTCTTACAAATATTCCAAGATTTCAGTATTCACAAACAAACAAAAAAAAGTTTTTTTTTTCTGATTAATTTGCTATTATATTTCGTGGGAAAGCGGAAACAAGACCCCGTAATCTTTTTATACATTTCCCGAGCACAGAACCAAATAGAGCGTACAATCATATTTGTCTTGATTGTTGGTTAACCAGAAAATGTGTTCATCATATCTCAGCATTTGCATGTTGTCTTTTTGTTAACATTTGATATGCATTTAATCCTCTAAATGCAAAATGCCTGTTCCCTTCTGCACTTGTGCTTTTGTTATTGAAATCTGTGACACGGCTTAGAGGTTGTAACCCTTGTCATGTAGAAGATGCTATCGCTGGGGTTCTCATCTCTGGCCCTCGAGATCCACTTTCCTGCAGAATATTAAATACAAAAAAAAAACATTAACGAACTAATATATAGTACACTCATTTCTTAAA